ACTAGCGGGAGATGACTAGCTACACTACCGTGAGGTGACTAGCTATACTACCGGGAGATGACTAGCTATACTACCGGGAGATGACTAGCTACACTACCGGGAGATGACTAGCTATACTACCGGGAGATGACTAGCTATACTACCGGGAGATAACTAGCTACACTACCGGGAGATGACTAGCTACACTAGCGGGAGACGACTAACTACACTACCGGGAGATGACTAGCTATACTACCGGGAGATGACTAGCTACACTACCGAGAGATGACTAGCTACACTACCGGGAGATGACTAGCTACACTACCGGGAGATGACTAGCTACACTACCGGGAGATGACTAGCTATACTACCGGGAGATGACTAGCTACACTACCGGGAGATGACTAGCTACACTACCGGGAGATGACTAGCTACACTACCGGGAGATGACTAGCTATACTACCGGGAGATGACTAGCTACACTACCGGGAGATGACTAGCTACACTACCGGGAGATGACTAGCTACACTACCGGGAGATGACTAGCTACACTAGCGGGAGATGACTAGCTATACTACCGGGAGATGACTAGCTATACTACCGGGAGATGACTAGCTATACTACCGGGAGATGACTAGCTACACTACCGGGAGATGACTAGCTACACTACCGGGAGACTGGCTACACTACCGGGAGACGACTAGCTACACTACCGGGAGATAACTAGCTACACTACCGGGAGATGACTAGCTACACTACCGGGAGATGACTAGCTATACTACCGGGAGATGACTAGCTACACTACCGGGAGATGACTAGCTATACTACCGGGAGATGACTAGCTACACTACTGGTAGATGACTAGCTACACTACCGGGAGATGACTAGCTACACTACCGGGAGATGACTAGCTATACTACCGGGAGATGACTAGCTATACTACCGGGAGATGACTAGCTACACTACTGGTAGATGACTAGCTACACTACCGGGAGATGACTAGCTACACTACCGGGAGATGACTAGCTACACTAGCGGGAGATGACTAGCTATACTACCGGGAGATGACTAGCTACACTACCGGGAGATGACTAGCTACACTACCGGGAGATGACTAGCTACACTACCGGGAGATGACTAGCTATACTACCGGGAGATGACTAGCTACACTACCGGGAGATGACTAGCTACACTACCGGGAGATGACTAGCTACACTACCGGGAGATGACTAGCTACACTACCGGGAGATGACTAGCTACACTAGCGGGAGATGACTAGCTATACTACCGGGAGATGACTAGCTATACTACCGGGAGATGACTAGCTATACTACCGGGAGATGACTAGCTACACTACCGGGAGATGACTAGCTACACTACTGGTAGATGACTAGCTACACTACCGGGAGATGACTAGCTACACTACCGGGAGATGACTAGCTATACTACCGGGAGATGACTAGCTATACTACCGGGAGATGACTAGCTACACTACTGGTAGATGACTAGCTACACTACCGGGAGATGACTAGCTATACTACCGGGAGATGACTAGCTATACTACCGGGAGATGACTAGCTACACTACTGGTAGATGACTAGCTACACTACCGGGAGATGACTAGCTATACTACCGGGAGATGACTAGCTACACTACTGGTAGATGACTAGCTACACTACCGGGAGATGACTAGCTATACTACCGGGAGATGACTAGCTATACTACCGGGAGATGACTAGCTACACTACTGGTAGATGACTAGCTACACTACCGGGAGATGACTAGCTATACTACCGGGAGATGACTAGCTACACTACTGGTAGATGACTAGCTACACTACCGGGAGATGACTAGCTATACTACCGGGAGACGACTAGCTACACTACTGGTAGATGACTAGCTACACTACCGGGAGATGACTAGCTATACTACCGGGAGATGACTAGCTATACTACCGGGAGATGACTAGCTACACTACTGGTAGATGACTAGCTACACTACCGGGAGATGACTAGCTATACTACCGGGAGATGACTAGCTACACTACTGGTAGATGACTAGCTACACTACCGGGAGATGACTAGCTATACTACCGGGAGATGACTAGCTACACTACTGGTAGATGACTAGCTACACTACCGGGAGATGACTAGCTATACTACCGGGAGATGACTAGCTATACTACCGGGAGATGACTAGCTACACTACTGGTAGATGACTAGCTACACTACCGGGAGATGACTAGCTATACTACCGGGAGATGACTAGCTACACTACTGGTAGATGACTAGCTACACTACCGGGAGATGACTAGCTATACTACCGGGAGATGACTAGCTATACTACCGGGAGATGACTAGCTACACTACTGGTAGATGACTAGCTACACTACCGGGAGATGACTAGCTATACTACCGGGAGATGACTAGCTACACTACTGGTAGATGACTAGCTACACTACCGGGAGATGACTAGCTACACTACCGGGAGATGACTAGCTACACTACCGGGAGATGACTAGCTACACTACCGGGAGATGACTAGCTATACTACCGGGAGATGACTAGCTATACTACCGGGAGATGACTAGCTACACTACTGGTAGATGACTAGCTACACTACCGGGAGATGACTAGCTATACTACCGGGAGATGACTAGCTACACTACTGGTAGATGACTAGCTACACTACCGGGAGATGACTAGCTACACTACCGGGAGATGACTAGCTACACTACCGGGAGATGACTAGCTATACTACCGGGAGATGACTAGCTATACTACCGGGAGACGACTAGCTACACTACCGGGAGATGACTAGCTATACTACCGGGAGATGACTAGCTACACTACTGGTAGATGACTAGCTATACTACCGGGAGATGACTAGCTATACTACCGGGAGATGACTAGCTACACTACTGGTAGATGACTAGCTACACTACCGGGAGATGACTAGCTATACTACCGGGAGATGACTAGCTATACTACCGGGAGATGACTAGCTACACTACTGGTAGATGACTAGCTACACTACCGGGAGATGACTAGCTATACTACCGGGAGATGACTAGCTATACTACCGGGAGATGACTAGCTATACTACCGGGAGATGACTAGCTACACTACTGGTAGATGACTAGCTACACTACCGGGAGATGACTAGCTACACTACTGGTAGATGACTAGCTACACTACCGGGAGATGACTAGCTACACTACCGGGAGATGACTAGCTACACTACTGGTAGATGACTAGCTACACTACTGGTAGATGACTAGCTATACTACCGGGAGACGACTAGCTACACTACCGGGCTATGAACGGATATTGTCGCATCCAATACTACATTTCCCGAAACGATCCCCTCTCTTTTGAAATCAGGTCCGGTCCCATCCCCAGTGAAATGGCTGATGGGAAAAATGGGAATATTAAAGAGCTTGTGTTTGTAGTTGGTCTCCCAGTATCGATCTAGTGACTCATTAGGGATTCCCCCACTAATCACGGATCGAACGCTACATAAATAAGGATTCATTCGCCAAAACCAACTTTAAAGAAACAATTAATTCCCTGACATATTTGCCGGGAACTAATGGCTGGAGATTAGTTTTGTGCATTTAGCATTCAGTCTGGCTTTAGCGTAGCATTTCACAACAGATTAGTGGTGTGCGTTTAGCGTTTATTCTAGCTTTAGCGGGGAGTTGTAAACAATGCGGTTGTTTACTCTGAATAAATCTGGGTGTGGACGTTTGTTTAGAAATCTGTAGTGTTTTGTTCTCATGTGGTTTCCACATCTAAACAAATGTTTACTGTGATTTTGAGAAGTTTGAAACTATTTTTAAAAACTGTTTACACATTTTGAACGTATTGTTAATATTAACTTTTAATTTCGATATGATTGAAAATATTTTTTTTTTCAATAAAACAAAAAAGAAGGTTAACGCAGTAATTAATTCTAATTCCAGTGAGGTTTATTCCTATTTTAGTGAGGAAATCACAAATTAATCCTGTTTTTTTTTTACAATCCCTGTAACAAAATGGCTACCCTGCGCGTGGCATTAATTGTGTGCACGAAAATAGCAGTTACATCACCGCCAAACATTAACGCCCATTTGGGAGGAGGGAGGGGGGGGGGAACTGGAAGTGCTACCAAACGGCAACACAAAAAACGACTTAACAAAAAAAAAAATCAACACATTTGAAATCAAATCGCTCTCTGGTTCCCGGGTAATTAATTTCCGCTCTCGTTACCTTTTGTTTTGTCTAGTTTTTTTTTCTGCCATTATTTGAAGCCAAATGTTTTCCCGCTGTGCACCTGGGACCAATGGAAAGGTTTCCTTAGAACAATGCCATAGGCTGTTTGATGCTGGTAGACTTTAGGAACATTTATCTTATACATGATTGTGTTCTTTTTCTTTTGACTCGTTGCTTCAGAACTCAGCACTTTTGTATTCAGCACTACTAGAGTCACTAGTTTTAGTATCACCTTTATTAGTAACATCACTATATTTTGAGTCACCATTAGGCCTACTGACGACAAAGTTTATGGAGTTTCACTATAGTTTCACTATATATGGAGTCACCACTTCTGGAGTCATTATTCCTGGAGTCACTACATCTGTAGTAACCACTTATGAAGTCAACTGGAGTCACCTGTTGCACATTATCATAAATCATGAATAGGTCTACATGTCTCACCTCCTCGGAATGAATACATTTTGAGATCACCATTTCTGGAGTCACCATTTCTGCAGTCACCATTTCTGGAGTCACCATTTCTGGAGTCACCATTTCTGCAGTCACCATTTCTGGAGTCACCATTTCTACAGTCACTGTATATGAAGTCACCATTTCTGGAGTCTCTATATCTTGAGTCACCTTTGTTAGAGTCACTATTTTTGGAGTCACCACTTCTATTCTCATCCACACAGTGAGCCTTTGAGATCATAATTGTTTTCCCAGTCCTGTGTATCCCTGATCTGTGTGTAAGATACTTACGTTTATTTTCTTTTTTTTTTACAGGAGGAAGCGGAGATGGCTTACAGCACTCTCATAAGAATACATTTTTAAGGTAAAGTAGGCTGGTCTATTGGGGGGAAGAATACATTTTTAAGGTAAAGTAGGCTGGTCTATTGGAGGAAGAATACATTTTTAAGGTAAAGCAGGCTGGTCCATTGGGGGAAGAATACATTTTTAAGGTAAAGTAGGCTGGTCTATTGGGGAAGAATACATTTTTAAGGTAAAGTAGGCTGGTTTATTGGGGGAAGAATACATTTTTAAGGTAAAGTAGACTGGTTTATTGGGGGAAGAATACATTTTAAGGTAAAGTAGGCTGGTTTATTGGGGGAAGAATACATTTTTAAGGTAAAGTAGGCTGGTCTATTGGGGGAAGAATACATTTTTAAGGTAAAGTGGGCTGGTATATTGGGGAAGAATACATTTTTAAGGTAAAGTAGGCTGGTCTATTGGGGGAAGAATACATTTTTAAGGTAAAGCAGGCTGGTCCATTGGGGGAAGAATACATTTTTAAGGTAAAGTAGGCTGGTCTATTGGGGGAAGAATACATTTTTAAGGTAAAGTAGGCTGGTATATTGGGGAAGAATACATTTTTAAGGTAAAGTAGGCTGGTTTATTGGGGAAGAATACATTTTTAAGGTAAAGTAGGCTGGTCTATTGGGGGAAGAATACATTTTTAAGGTAAAGTAGGCTGGTTTATTGGAGGAAGAATACATTTTTAAGGTAAAGTAGGCTGGTCTATTGGGGGAAGAATACATTTTTAAGGTAAAGTAGGCTGGTCTATTGGGGAAGAATACATTTTTAAGGTAAAGTAGGCTGGTTTATTGGGGGAAGAATACATTTTTAAGGTAAAGTAGGCTGGTTTATTGGGGGAAGAATACATTTTAAGGTAAAGTAGGCTGGTTTATTGGGGGAAGAATACATTTTTAAGGTAAAGTAGGCTGGTCTATTGGGGGAAGAATACATTTTTAAGGTAAAGTAGGCTGGTATATTGGGGAAGAATACATTTTTAAGGTAAAGTAGGCTGGTCTATTGGGGGAAGAATACATTTTTAAGGTAAAGTAGGCTGGTCTATTGGGGGAAGAATACATTTTTAAGGTAAAGCAGGCTGGTCCATTGGGGGAAGAATACATTTTTAAGGTAAAGTAGGCTGGTCTATTGGGGGAAGAATACATTTTTAAGGTAAAGTAGGCTGGTCTATTGGGGGAAGAATACATTTTTAAGGTAAAGTAGGCTGGTATATTGGGGAAGAATACATTTTTAAGGTAAAGTAGGCTGGTCTATTGGGGGAAGAATACATTTTAAAGGTAAAGTAGGCTGGTTTATTGGGGAAGAATACATTTTTAAGGTAAAGTAGGCTGGTCTATTGGGGGAAGAATACATTTTTAAGGTAAAGTAGGCTGGTCTATTGGGGGAAGAATACATTTTTAAGGTAAAGTAGGCTGGTATATTGGGGAAGAATACATTTTTTAGGTAAAGTAGGCTGGTTTATTGGGGAAGAATACATTTTTAAGGTAAAGTAGGCTGGTCTATTGGGGGAAGAATACATTTTTAAGGTAAAGTAGGCTGGTTTATTGGGGGAAGAATACATTTTTAAGGTAAAGTAGGTTGGTCTATTGGGGGAAGAATACATTTTTAAGGTAAAGTAGGCTGGTATATTGGGGAAGAATACATTTTTAAGGTAAAGTAGGCTGGTCTATTGGGGGAAGAATACATTTTTAAGGTAAAGTAGGCTGGTCTATTGGAGGAAGAATACATTTTTAAGGTAAAGCAGGCTGGTCCATTGGGGGAAGAATACATTTTTAAGGTAAAGTAGGCTGGTCTATTGGGGGAAGAATACATTTTTAAGGTAAAGTAGGCTGGTTTATTGGGGGAAGAATACATTTTTAAGGTAAAGTAGGCTGGTCTATTGGGGGAAGAATACATTTTTAAGGTAAAGTAGGCTGGTATATTCAGGAAGAATACATTTTTAAGGTAAAGTAGGCTGTTTCATTGGGGGAAGAATACATTTTTAAGGTAAAGTAGGCTGTTTCATTGGGGGAAGAATACATTTTTAAGGTAAAGTAGGCTGTTTCATTCGGGGAAGAATACATTTTTAAGGTAAAGTAGGCTGGTCTATTGGGGGAAGAATACAAAATATAGACCTACATGAAACTACAAATATTAGAAACTCATTAATTTCAATTGACTTTTGAGGTCCAGATGTAAAAATATGCCCCCATAGTAAATAAATTTCACAATTGTTGTTAGAATAGAAAAGTTCTAAACTCTTTAACCTGATGTGCAGGTACACTGTTCACATCTACTTGTCTATGATCAAATCTGTGCTGGCTGCCATACAAGTATATGCTTGCACAGCCAGTGTCAGCAAGGTAAAGTCTTGCTGTTGTCTGACTCCTCTCACATTCATACATCTAGTGACTCCTGCCACATTCATACAGCTAGTGACTCACATAACCTGTGACTCCAGTTACATTCATACAACCAGTGACTCCTCTCACATTCATACTGCCAGTGACTCACACAACCTGTGACTTCCATCACATTCATACAACCAGTGACTCCCATTATTCATCATACAACCAGTGACTCCATTGACATTCACAAAGTGATTGTGACTCCTATTACATCCCTTAAGCCCTTGAATCCCATCAAATTCACACATCCATTGTGACTCCCATCACATTCCCATGGCTAGTGTGACTCCCATCACATTCACACATCCATTGTGACTCCCATCACATTCACAGATCCATTGTGACTCCCATGACATCCTTCAGCTAGTGTGACTCCCATCACAACCATCATCCACCTCATCCTCCACTACATCAATCATCTTCCACCAGGCTAAATCCACCTGTTTTGAAACTTTACAAGAAAGAATCCTCTCACTGGAGAGTGAATCCCTGGCGAACTACATAAAAAACAGGTGATCTTTTAGTTCCATCAAAAACAGATGACATTTTTGCTAATCTCACATACCTATTATTATTATTATTATCATCACTCATCTTTTATAAATGAAAAATGTAATTATTTTTTAAATTATGAAACAGATTGTAAAAATTCAGACTCAATTTGTTAAAAAATTGGTATCCAAAAATATTTTAATTGGAAATTAATTATTTAATTGTAATTAATTTTATTTTCACAGCATCAACATAGAATTTGTCCTAGTGGCATTTAGCACTAACCACAGGTACACTTGTCACGTTGTCTCTATAAATAGGCCTTTACAGTCTCTGTAAAAAGGCCTTTACAGCAGAGGCGTAGCGACCCTTCCCGATTTGCACCCCCCCTCAAGATTTTGATTTGCACCCCACTCCACTCAAACTTTCGATTTACACCCCCCTCGACCTTTCAATTTATTTTTCCAATCCACATTGGCGCCCCTTAAAAAGGGGACATATGTCGTCCCCCCCCCCCCCCCCCCCCCCCCCCGCCCCCACTCGCTACGCTACTGGTTTACAGTCTCTATAAATAGGCCTTTACAGTCTCTATAAATAGGCCTTTACACCTAGACCATATCTATTATTAGTTTAAGTAATGAATTAACTGCAACATCTTTCTGAGTCGTCTAACTTACAACAAAATGTGGGATTTCTTTTTGTCAGAGAGGAGTCCCTGGTAGACGGAGAACCCAACAGAAAGATGAAATACATTTCTCTTACTCTACTGGATGTTCCAGCACCAGATGACGGCTCATCCATTGGATCCATGATGTTTGCTGAGACCTTCTTAGACTCCAGTATATCCATTGCAGGTCAGATGGCTGGAGAAATATAGGCTTAGTTAATGTCTGAAGGGAGAAAACTTAGCTTCAAGAAAACTTGTCAAAGTAAACTTGACTCTCTGTCAGTCATAGAAAATTTAACTCTGTCAAGATGACGTAACTGTGTCTTTCAAGTAATACTTAACTGTGTCAGTCAAAGATAAACTTAACTGTGCCAGTCAAAGTAAACTTAACTGTGCCAGTCAAAGTAAACTTAACTGTGCCAGTCAAAGTAAACTTAACTGTGCCAGTCAAAGTAAACTTAACTGTGTCAGTCAAAGTAAACTAACTGTGCCAGTCAAAGATAAACTTAACTGTGCCAGTCAAAGATAAACTTAACTGTGCCAGTCAAAGTAAACTTAATTGTGTCAGTCAAAGTAAACTTAACTGTGTCAGTCAAAGTAAACTTAACTGCGTCAGTCAAAGTCATCTTGACTCTGTCAGTAAAATAAAACTTAAGAGTCAAAGAAAACTGAACTCTGTCTGGAAAACAGATTCATTCAAAGAAAACTTAGGCTGTCAAGGAAAAATGAACTCTGTCAAAGAACCTTAACTCTGTCCATTAATGAACTGCTTGTGTCACTCTTCCTACAGGTTCCAGTGAGACCAGTTCTGAGGTTTTCATTGCCACCTCCTGCATCCCACGCTACCAGCTCTGGAGTGTACGTTTGTTGGGCCAGTCTTCCAGTCTCATCCTTGTGGCTAATTTACCAACCTAATCAGGAAAACTCAGTTTCTTAACGAGTTTTCTAAACTAATTTTTCTTAACTACTTTTCTAAGCTAATTTTTAAACTACTTTTCTAAGCTAATTTTTTAAACTACTTTTCTAAGCTATTTTTTTTTAAATAGTTTTTTTAAGTAATATTCTACTCTAACTTAATTTTATAGAATTTATCTACAAATATTTAAAAAGAAAAACGCATTCACTAAAATTACAATTAGTGTGCCTAATGGTTGATATTCATGTTTAAAAAATTCATACATATCATCTATTTAGTGACTCTATCATTCAGCAAAGTAAGATTTCATGTCAAATAATTCTTGCAGATGAATGGGTTTTTTAGAAACCAGAAAACATCTTGCCCATCCCTGTCATCAGCCCAGTGGGGGGAGAAGCTGATGACACAAGGTGACATCTACATGACAGGGACGTGGACAGCTCTCCTGCCAGCAGAGAAAGGTTTGTCTGTTCTGCTGTTGGACTTTCCATCTGCTGTCTGGCTGTTCTGTCATTGTCTGACTGGCCTAATGCCTGACTGTCTTACTATCTTATAGTTTTTTTTATATAGAAATACAAAAACAAAATGACAAACTCCTATTAAAAAAATTGTTTACTTATTCTTTGTATCCCACAAATTAGACTAATGAATTGTATTTCTTGCAATAACCTTTTAAAAAGTAACTCAATCATATTTTATTGTAAAAAAAATCATAACCTTATTAAATTTTATTTCTGTAGTATTTTAATTGTGTTTTACCATTACCATCACAGTCCCCTTAACTGTGCTGACATAGTGTGACAATTAAATTGATTTAATGAGTTGTTTGCCCTTTGCTTGTAAGTCTCTGCCACTAGTTATTTCTGTAATGTGATGTCTTCTCATCTTTCCTAGTGGTTCTCACATTATGTGAGCATGCTGTACCACTTGTTGTTTCTGTAATGTGATGTCCTCTCATCTTTCCTAGTGGTTCTCACATTATGTGAGCATGCTGTACCACTAGTTGTTTCTGTAATGTGATGTCTTCTCATCTTTCCTAGTGGTTCTCACGTTATGGGAGCATGGCTTCTCTGTACAGAGTGGGGATTATGGTGCCTTTACCCTCCATGGATCAGACATCAGCTCTGTGTCTCTCTATGATGGAGTAAGTCATCTGTCTATTATTTTTTTATTATTCTAGCAAGTATAACCGAGTTAAATAGTTCCTATGTAACCCTACAACCCACATTTAGATTTTAATATTTCTTTTGTTCTAAATGGGCACAAGTGTGATTGAAAGATTCTCATTTATAACCTGGTAATTAAAGATTTTAATTAGTGGCTTGTGATTGGATTTCCCACCAGGGACCAGCTAGGGGTTCTGGGAGAGCACTGTAAATAAAACATAAAAAAGATAATTATAATGACAACATGAACTTGCTACTGACATAAACGATGTCATATTCTCCGCTCAGCCACAATGTCACATACTATTTAGTCAACTTGTCACATAACAATGTGTCAACTTGTCACATACCGATGTGTCACCACTTGCCATATTCCATTGTCTCAACTTGTCATATACAATTTGTCAACTTGTTGCATACAAATATGTCAATTTATCACTTACCGATTTGTCAACTTGTCACATTCCAATATGTCAGTTTGTCACATTTCAATGTGTCAACTTGTCTCATACAAGTGTGTCAATTTGTCACATACAATTTAGTCACCTTGTTACATATAAATGTGTCTACTTGTCACATACCAATGTGTGAACTTATCACATACTAATGTGTCAACTTATCACATACCAATTAGTCAACTTGCCACATACCAGTTTGTCAACTTGTCTTTTACCAGTTTGTCAACTTGCCACATACCAATGTGTCAACTTGTCACATTCCAATGTGTCAACTTGTCACATACCAATGTATCAACTTGTCACTTACCAATTTGTCTACTTGTCACTTACCAATGTGTCAACTTGTCTTTTACCAGTTTGTCAACTTGTCACATACCAATGGATCAATTTGTCACATTCCAATGTGTCAACTTGTATTACTTGAGAACTTTACTATCTTGGTGTCCCTAGTCCTCAGACAACATGCCATGGATATTAATTTTTTAGCAAATTTTCTGGCAGATGGGGTTAAATATTTACTAAGTACCCTCTGCCAAAAGTTTTATTTCTTATGTGCTGTTTGGAAGAAATGCTGTGTTTGGTAGGGATGCTGTGTTTGTTGAAATCTGGGTGCATATCAGGATATTTTAAAATATTAATTTAACCACAATGTATATTTTTATATTAGTTAAGACAGTTAATACATTTCCAATAATCTAAATTTTGATCTGGTGTACTTATAATAGTTAGAAGACTGTCCATTAAATACAGTTCCAATAATCTAAATCTTTACCTTGCTGTAGGCACACTAATATTAGTTGAGAGAGTCAGTTAAATACAGTTCCAGTAAACTAACTTTTGACCTGCTGTACTTCTACTACAGGATTCCATGACCCAGGTGACTGTCCTAATTCTGGAGGTCACCATGACCAGTGTCATGTGTGACGCCATCCCCCCACACCTGTATGCTGACGTGGATGAGAGAGGTGTGAGCAGGATTCTCTTTGCCTTCAACCCCCACACCAAGGCACACACACAGCTGTATGGGAACGTAAGGGATCCTCAAGTTTTTATTACATGACCACACTGTGCTACTTAATAACAGACCATTGTATGAATACTGTACTGATTTTAAGACACATATTTATGACTTCTGTACTGATTTTAAGACACATATTTATGACTTCTGTACTGATTTTAAGACACATATTTATGACTTCTGTACTGATTTTAAGACACATATTTATGACTTCTGTACTGATTTTAAGACACATATTTATGACTCCTGTAGTGATTTTAAGACACATATTTATGACTCCTGATCTGATTTTAAGACATATTTATGACTCCTGTACTGATTTTAAGACACATATTTATGACTCCTGTAGTGATTTTAAGACACATATTTATGACTCCTGATCTGATTTTAAGACATATTTATGAATCCTGTACTGATTTTAAGACATATTTATGAATCCTGTACTGATTTTAAGACACATATTTATGACTCATGTACTGATTTTAAGACACATATTTATGACTCCTGCACTGATTTTAAGACACATATTTATGACTCTTGTACTGATTTCAAGACACATATTTATGACTCTATACTGATTTTAAGACACATGTATGATTCCTATAATGATTTTAAGATATTTTGTAGAAATTCTATACTGATTCTTATAGAGGTTTGTCCTCAAATATTGATACTATACAGTTTTAAAATAACTGTTTATAAAAATAAGATTTCTATTTATTAACCATATTAATAGACCAAGTAACATTCAAATTACCATTACACCCTTCAACACTAGGCTAAGACTTTTCTTATTATGGAGTTTGGTTGTTATTATCAACACTAGCTATATCCTATATATGACTGGCTAATTGATAATGCAATTTTTCTTCAAATAAAAAGTTTTGACTAAGGTCATAGTTCAACATTTTATTCCACAAACAGATAACTGACAACGATTTGGGGTCAACTGAGTGTCACTCTGTCACCATGTAAATAATCTCATTGTTGACCTTTAACCTTTCAGGTGCTGCCTGCATGGAAGACAGACTCCCAGGTTCCTGAAGTCATACGGCTAAAAAATCTGGACCCACAACTTCAAGAAATGTGAAATTTTAAACTTTTTTGTTAATGTTAAGCTAAATTCTGTCATAGGAAACTAGAGTTATGTTTCCTAGATATAACATCATATGATTCTCGAACATCATTAATCTCTTAATACTGATGTCATTTGTAAGCTTATAACCTTGCTGAATTAAACATTTATAAAATTAGATGTATGAGTAAGTAATACTCCAACATATGCATATGTGCTATTCATGTTTCCTTGTAATCACCAAAATGTTTCTGAATGGTTATTTTTTTTTTTGTAATCACCAGACACACCTACCTTCAGAGTTTGGTGGACTCATCCATGCATGGTGCGCTGACATCACTGAAAAAACTATCCAACTCTATGCCAAATCTTTACAGGTAAGAGAATAATATATGGTCACTAAGTGCCTAAAACATACCAAACTATTTTAGATGGCAGTGAACAGAAGCAGATGGAATGTCATGGGCCCAATGGAGGAATTGACGAAAAACCAAGTATGATGGTTCCTATGTTCCGCAAGGGGCATACAGGAATGATGATAATGTTGAACTATTTAAGACATTTAATTTTAGACAATCCCCCCCCCCACACACACATACTTCTTGTCCCCTCATCATATAACCATGGCAGACTTGTGACAAAATTGAACTCAATCTGTTCCATCAAAATGTACCCCCACAATAAACCATCAGACTAGTAAAAATCTAGAGGATTTTCATCATTTTAAAAATTTAATACAAAATGTAAGCTAGACCTCCCCACAATCAAACTAGTTTCATTACAATTACATGTGTAATATCACTACCAATAAATCCTTATGTAATATAAGGAAATAAACATTACATCTTAACTATTGTAAGAAAATACAATTACACCTTAACTGTGTAAGAAAAGAAGATATCAACTGACGCAATCAAATCAGATAACACCTGAGCAATACCTGCAGGTTCTTAGATCACCTGACTGAAAGTTGTGGCCTTCACGGTCCAGTGACTACTGATGTCTACAACTCCCTACAGGGGATCTCCCTGACACAGAAGAAAATGAATGATGATAAGGTGAGGATTAGGATTAGGTTGGATTAGGTAGGTGTGATGATAAGGTGAGGCTTGATTAGACAGGTGTAATGATAAGGTGAGGATTAGGATTAGGTTGGATAAGGGAGGTGTAAGGATTAGGGTTATGTTGGATTAGACAGGTGTGATGATAAGGTGAGGATTAGGATTATGTTGGATTAGGTAGGTGTAAGGATAAGGTAAGGCTTAGGGTTAGGTTGGATTTGGTGTAATAATAAGGTAAGGATTAGGGTTCTGTTGGATTAGGTAGGTGTAATGATAATCTAAGGATTAGGGTTAGGTTTGATTAGACAGGTGTGATGATAAAGTAAGGATTAGGGTTATGTTGGATTATGGGATTCTGACAGATGTAATGATAATGTGAGGTTTAGGATTATGTTGGATTAGGGTGCAGGCAGTTATGATATGATAAGTTCAAACATGAAAAAAATTACAGTAGTTTGTATAATCAATTAACAAATTAATCTACTTAATCAAGGCACAGTTTGATCGAGACATTTGCTTTAATTAAGAAGCTGACCCAAATAAGGGAATTACAAAAAATCTATTGTCCAGATTTGTTCTTTATAATTTGTTCCCTAATTAATGGCTTCACCAATTATGATAAGAGCAGAGTGAAATAAAAATTGTTCATTAGCTGAGAGTGCATCACATCATTATTTATGGGTGGGTCTATTGAAATAGTGTATCCAATAATAATATGTAATGTTGTAAATTAATTGCATTATCGTGTTTTACAGATAACTGTCACAGTCATTACAGGCGCCCCAGGGTCTGATAAGGAGGCTTTGGCCAACATATTAACAACATACAACAAGCACGTGTTAAAGTAAGTCTACAACATACAACAAGCATGTGTTAAAGTAAGTCTACAACATACAACAAGCATGTGTTAAAGTAAGTCTACACCATACAACAAGCATGTGTTAAAGTAAGTCTACAACATACAACAAGCATGTATTAAAGTAAGTCTACAACATACAACAAGCATGTCTACAACATACAACAAGCATGTGTTAAAGTAAGTCTACACCATACAAGCATATGTTAAAGTAAGTCTACACCATACAACAAGCATGTGTTAAAGTATGTTTACAACATACAAGTATGGGTTAACACAGGTCTACAAAAAGGTGTTTAAATGTAATAGTAAAACTCATGTGTTAAAAATCATACAAAAAACGTGTGTTTAAGTCTACAACCTAAAATAAACATGGGTTAAAATACTCTTTTGTTACTCTCTGGCAGTTTTTTTTCAAGGGAGATAACAAACAAAGGGACACAACTGCTAATTTAAAAACTGTTGAGCTCACTGTGTTTTGTATTGACACTTGTCTTACTCCAGCTGGCTGGTGTACAGACAGGTAGAGGAGTGCCAGGTCAACACAGCAGACTTGCACCAGTTTTTGACCAATGCTGCCCACAGCCAGTCTCAGTGGCTACTCTCTAAGTCAATCCGGATCATCATTATAGCCCCAGGGTCAGTTCATTAGCATAATTATAGCCTCAAGGTCAGTTCATTAGCATAATTATAGCCCCAGGGTCAGTTCATTAGCATAATTAAATCACCAGGTACAGTTCATTAACATAATTATAGCCCCAGGGTCAGTTCATTAGCATAATTATAACCTCAGGGTCAGTTCATTAGCATAATTATAGCCCCAGGGTCAGTTCATTAGCATAATTATAGCCTCAGGGTCAGTTCATTAACATAATTATAGCCCCAGGGTCAGTTCATTAGCATAATTATAACCTCAGGGTCAGTTCATTAGCATAATTATAGCCCCAGGGTCAGTTCATTAGCATAATTATAGCCACAGGGTCAGTTCATTAGCATAATTATAGCCCCAGGGTCCGTTCATTAGCATAATTATAGCCCCAGGGTCAGTTCATTAGCATAATTATAGCCTCAGGGTCAGTTCATTAGCATAATTATAGCCACATGGTCAGTTCGTTAGCATAATTATAGCCCCAGGGTCAGTTCATTAGCATAATTATAGCCCTAGGGTCAGTTCATTAACATAATTATAGCCACAAGGTCAGTTCATTAGCATAATTATAGCCCCAGGGTCAGTTCATTAGCATAATTAAATAACCAAGTACAGTTCATTAGCATAATTAAATAACCAGGTACAGTTCATTAGCATAATTATAGCCCCAGGGTCAGTTCATTAGCATAATTATAGCCACATGGTCAGTTCATTAGCATAATTATAGCCACATGGTCAGTTCATTAGCATAATTATAGCCCAGGGTCAGTTCATTAGCATAATTAAATAACCAGGTACAGTTCATTAGCATAACTATAGCTCCAGGGTTAGTTTGGTATTATTATTTCTGTACGTGTAACGTGGTAATACAAGGAACCGTATGTTCCCATACTTGCAGGTTCTGTGACACCCCTGAGATTCTCCGAGCCATTTGTTCCCACCCTGACCACAAGTTGAGAACCCTCTTTGTTGTTGGCTCTGTCACTTTGTGTATAGACCCATCCAACGCATTTTTAGAACACAAGTAAGACTTAATGTTATAACGTGCTATTAATAGTAAGATGTTTTAGAAAAGTAAGGCTCTTTAGAAGTAACAATACAATGCGTATGGCTCTTTTTAAGTAAGACTTCATAGGCCTACTTAAGTAAAGTTCTCTAGAAGTAAAAATTTAAATAAAAGTAAGGCACAATATTAAAAATTCCAACTTTAAAAAAAAAGTATGTTAGAAAATATTGTTTTTTTTTAGGCTTTTTTATATTAAACTCATTTTTGTTAAGCATGTATAGATTAAACAATTAACATTCAGAGTAGGATTTCATGTTGTTTGTTACTTTCAATAAATTGTGTAGATTGTTAGATGATTTCAATGAGTTGTGTATAGCTAAAAGTTGTGTAGTACTTTCAATGAGCTCTTTCTAGCCAAAATTGTATGGTACTTTCAATGAGGTTTGTATAGCCAAAAGTTGTGTTGATTGTTAGATGATGGTTGTAGTAAGTTTCGTATGTCCCCACAGAATGAGCCTGCCCATGTTAACAGCTCAATGTGCCCAGGGATGGGTCAACAATATAGTCTTCACATCCCAGACCCTAGCACCTGTAAGTTTGTCAGGCATGTCAATTGTTAGGTGTCATGTCATTTGTTTGGTGTCATGTAATGTTATTTGTTTGGTGTCATGTCACATTTGTTTTGGTGTCATGTCATGTCATTTGTTTGGTATCATGTCTTTTTTGTGTCATGTCATATCATTTGTTTGCTGTCACTTCATGTCATTTATTTGGTGTCTTGTTATGTCATTAATAAGGTGTCATGTCACGTAATTTGTTTGGTGTCATGCCATGCCATTTGTTCATAATTAAATCACTCATTATTGAAAAATGGGAAGAAAATCATTCATTTTCATTTTAATATTTAGAATACACTCTGCTGCTAAAGTGTACAGTAAATTATAATTTTTTGCAGTATGTTTGTTGAATGATTTCTTTGGATAATTAACTAAATGTGAGTACTTCTCTCTTCCACACAGAGTTCAGTACTGGAGGAGCTACAGACTCTCATCCGCAGCATCAACTCCGATGTTGCTCTGTTAAAGGCTGAGAAAGGTTTAGTTACAAGGCAGGTTGACTTGTTATTTAGTTGAACATGTTAAGTCATTAGATCAACTCTGATGTTGCTCTGTTAAAGGCTGAGAAAGGTTTAGTTACAAGGCAGGTTGACTTGTTATTTAGTTGAACATGTTGAGTCATTAGATCAACTCTGATGTTGCTCTGTTAAAGGCTGAGAAAGGTTTAGTTACAAGGCAGGTTGACTTGTTATTTAGTTGAACATGTTGAGTCATTAGATCAACTCTGATGTTGCTCTGTTAAAGGCAGAGAAAGGTTTAGTTACAAGGCAGGTTGACTTGTTATTTAGTTGAACATGTTAAGTCATTAGATCAACTCTGATGTTGCTCTGTTAAAGGCTGAGAAAGGTTTAGTTACGAGAGGTTGACTTGTTATTTAGTTATAATGGTTAAGTCATTAGATCAACTCTGATGTTGCTCTGTTAAAGGCTGAGAAAGGTTTAGTTACAAGGCAGGTTGACTTGTTATTTAGTTGAACATGTTGAGTCATTAGATCAACTCTGATGTTGCTCTGTTAAAGGCTGAGAAAGGTTTAGTTACAAGGCAGGTTGACTTGTTATTTAGTTGAACATGTTAAGTCATTAGATCAACTCTGATGTTGCTCTGTTAAAGGCTGAGAAAGGTTTAGTTACAAGGCAGGTTGACTTGTTATTTAGTTGAACATGTTGAGTCATTAGATCAACTCTGATGTTGCTCTGTTAAAGGCTGAGAAAGGTTTAGTTACAAGGCAAGTTGACTTGTTATTTAGTTGAACATGTTGAGTCATTAGATCAACTCCGATGTTGCTCTGTTAAAGGCTGAGAAAGGTTTAGTTACAAGGCAGGTTGACTTGTTATTTAGTTGAACATGTTGAGTTAAGTCATTAGATCAACTCTGATGTTGCTCTGTTAAAGGCTGAGAAAGGTTCAGTTACAAGGCAGGTTGACTTGTTATTTTGTTGAACATGTTGAGTTACATCATAAGACACAAATATTGTATGATTGACACAACCATGTGACCATGCTAGACCAAATGTGACTGTATATGACTAAATTTTATATCATATATAGCAACATTTTACTCAACAGAATGGCATGTTACAAACTTTTATGTGACTGAATGTGAATGAATGTGACTGTAGGTCATATAGTTTGGTGTGTCTATATTATGTGTCTGAATGATACATGACTTGTATATAGCTGACTGGCATGGCTGTAAATTATATGACTTTGGTATACACTAAATGATTCATGACTGTAGGATACACAAACTGTATGGTACATGACTTTTAACAAGCAGGTATGAGTTATGTCAGTTAAAAACCAATAGACCTACCATACATAAGAAGACACACAGAGGGCTATAATGTAAATGTAAACACTCTATGTATTTCACTCCCCAGGAGCTTAGACCTGATTATGTCAGAAAAATCCTTGTGCTACTACCTAAATGTAAAAACTCTATGTAATACACTCCTTGTGCTACTACCTAAATGTAAAAACTCTATGTAATACACTCCTTGTGCTACTACCTAAATGTAAAAACTCTATGTAATACACTTCTTGTGCTACTACCTAAATGTAAACACTCTATGTAATTCACTCCTTGTGCTACTACCTAAATGTAAACACTCTATGTAATTCTCTCTTTGTGCTACTACCTAAATGTAAACACTCTATGTAATTCACAGGAGCACAGACCTAGACCTGATCATGTCAGAGAAATCATTCCATGAGCCAGAGATGGAGAGGGCCAGAGTTCTGCTTAAACCCTCCTGGTATTGTCCTTGGTTGCTTCCATTCAGATTTTCTTTATCTTAAGTACTCTATGTTTATAGTCTGAGAGGCACTGAAACACACAATTAACTCCGATCTTCATATCCTAAATGTTGATTAGCACAAACCCCAATGATAACATGTAGTTTAGGTGATAGAAGCCCTTACTTTAATACATTCATATAGCTTAAAAATGTTTTGGTCAGGAGTGTTCTATTTCATGTACTGCTCTAATCCTGACTCTAGCACTATTTTTTGTATTCACCTCTCCCTCCACACAGGCGAGAAGGTTACCCCCACGCTTGGCCCTGCCACCCAGAGATGAAAGACGTCATCCTCCATTTTGTTTTACCACTAGAGAAACATCTAACCCTCATCAAACTCACAAGTAAGAAATTATTTTTTCATTCATTTAAATACAACACCCTCATCAAACTCAGAAGTAAGAAATTATTTTTTCATTCATATACATACAACTTCATCAAACTCACAAGTAAGAAATTATTTTTTCGTTTATTTTAATACAACATTGAACTCACAAGTAAGAAATCATTTTTTCATTCATTTTAATACAACACTCTCATTAAACTCAGAAGTAAGAAATTTTCATGTAATTTAAAACACTTAGCTTGAAATTTGCAGTCAAATAAATTTAATGCAGTTTTAAAATATGTTTGTTTTGCATAATGAAAAGAGTCTACTTGCTTACCAATATAACCTTTTTTACTTGCTATTTTAAACTAAACCTTTCAGATCTGAAGAAAACAATGAAGTCTTACCCATTCAAAGGGAACATTTATCATGTCCACGGAAGGTTAAAATTTAATGGTAAATTACATTTTCACTTGCATCAAACAATGTTGGTTAAAATTTAATGGTAAATTACATTTTCACTTAAATTAAACACATTTTGGTTAAAATTTAATGGTAAATTACATTTTAACTTGCATCAAACAATGTTGGTTAAAACTGAAGACAAGGTAAAGTAAATGTTTACATAGATCAACTATTATTGATATGATCATCTGGCAATATTTATTCAACATGAACATAGTAAAGTTCCCTATTCTAACCTGACAGCCCATGGGGTAAGTGAAGTAGAGTTCACTTGTTTCTGTGAACTCGGCATATGAAGAGATGGTGTGGTCAGCAGTATGCACAGCCACCTTTACTTTCCTTAACGTAAGTTAGGTACCCATTACAGCTGGGTGGACATAGGGATGTTCCACTGAATTTAACCCAAATTCAAACTCTAGACTTTTGGGTTAGCAGGCTAGCGCTCTACTGCTAGACCACACCATCCCTACATGAACATACTATCTGTAAAAGATGAGGCATAAAATCAAGCAGACCAGCACATCCTACTGGCTACTCCTTAATGTACTAGACAGACCACTAAAGTTGTTGGACAGTTTAATTGGCCTGAACAAACACACCATCAATTAAAACTAATTAACATGAAGATAATTATAAACCAGAGCATATCATCTGACTTATTTAAGATGTAGTGTATCTTCTAATGATATCCTACATGTCGGTGCACATCTTACTTTACCCATAAGACCACATTATTCTTCCAATTTTACTTCATGTCATAGACTTATCACATTTTAAATTACATCTAACCATGAAACATTACATACTATATCATTTATCACAAGCTCAAGTAACTCTGAATAATGTTGTCTTTACTTGTCTAGGCTCAGGGACGTGGTTTGAAATAGAGTTCACTCCCCTGAGTGGAAAACTAGTTTTAAATGATGAGGCTGTGGAGAAAAGTTCCGAGTTCTTCATGTGTTTCACTGGCGTTGGTCTCAATGTAGAGGAGCTGAAGCTACTGTTGAACGGCTGCATCAAACAGGTTATTATCCAGTTAAATAAAACTAGGTTGTTTCAGCTCACACAATTGTTATAGAGTTAAATAAAACTAGGTTGTTTCAGCTCACACAATTGCTATAGAGTTAAATAGAACCGTGTTGTTTCAGACCACACAATTATTATAGAGTTAAATAAAACCGTGTTATTTCAGACCACACAATTATTATAGAGTTAAATAAAACCGTGTTATTTCAGACCACACAATTATTATAGAGTTAAATAAAACCATGTTGTTTCAGCTCACACAATTATTATAGAGTTAAATAAAATTGTGTTATTTCAGACCACACAATTATTATAGAGTTAAATAAAACTAGGTTGTTTCAGCTCACACAATTGTTATAGAGTTAAATAAAACCGTGTTGTTTCAGACCACACAATTATTATAGAGTTAAATAAAACTAGGTTGTTTCAGCTCACACAATTGTTATAGAGTTAAATAAAACCGTGTTATTTCAGACCACACAAGTATTAAAGAGTTAAATAAAACTAGGTTGTTTCAGCTCACACAATTGTTATAGAGTTAAATAAAACCATGGTGTTTCAGATCACACAATTATTATAGAGTTTAATAAAACCATGTTGTTTCAGAAACCAGACAAGAAGAAATTCATCACCAGAGAAGATCTGACGCCTCAAGAAATTGACAAAATTCATGTGAGTTACCTGTGTGTGATTTACATGTGAAAATTCATATTAGTCATGTGATTAAGGTGTGGTTAAACATCCATTTCTATTTTACCTGACATCTTACACAAACACTGTAAGCCACCTCCAGCTGATTAAAAATTTACTCCCAAACCAATAAAATGTGATCTTCTAGAAAAGCCATTAAAAATGTCCACTCAAACTAATAAAATTTAATCTACCAGAAAAGCCATTATCAAATGTTATATCAAACTAATAAAATTTAATCTACCAGAAAAGCCATTATCAAATGTTATATCAAACTAATAAAATTTAATCTACCAGAAAAGCCATTATCAAATGTTATATCAAACTAATAAAATTTAATCTACCAGAAAAGCCATTATCAAATGTTATATCAAACTAATAAAATTTAATCTACCAGAAAAGCCATTGACAAATATTATATCAAACTATAAAATTTAATCTACCAGAAAAGCCATTATCAAATGTTATATCAAACTAATAAAATTTAATCTACCAGAAAAGCCATTAACAAATATTATATCAAACTATAAAATTTAATCTACCAGAAAAGCCATTATCAAATGTTATATCAAACTAATAAAATTTAATCTACCAGAAAAGCCATTAAAAATCTCCACTCAAACTAATAAAATTTAATCTACCAGAAAAGCCATTAACAAATGTTATATCAAACTAATAAAATTTAATCTACCAGAAAAGCCATCATCTAGATGGTCTCCCAGAAGGATGGTACTACAACGGATCTCAGTTTGTCAGTATGGATGGGGAACGCTCTTACAAGCATCCCAGTATCCTTTTTACTTTTTGCAGAATCTTCTCCCTGTATGAACTATCAAATGAGAACCACTTTTATAGGATTTTGTTGCTGTCAATTGTAAAAATAATCTAGTGTTCATTATGTGCACAGTCAATTAAAAATTAGTGTTTTTTTTTATTCTGAAATATTTGTATTGATTCGGTATGCTTAGACTTTTTTTTTTTTTTAAATTCATGGGTATCATTGTTATGTGAAGAATTTCTTGTTTTTGGATGTTAAAGATAGGTCCAATATTTTACTGAAACAAAATGTGAAATTTTTTCTTAAAACTGACCAGATCTTGAAAAGTTTATCCAGGACTACATTGACAAAAAGAATTTGGATATCAGCAAATACAACAGTCGTGTGGAGAGTGAAACCTACCTGACTCTCTGGCACTAGGGGAAGAGTTATCTTGTGCTCGAAATTTTTTATTTTGCTTTAAGAGTTGTCAGCCATGGATGAGTTGTCTAACTTTATCTAACTTCATAGCATAAGCTTGAGTTGTCTAACCTGGTTGGCACTTGTGGCCTGAGTTGTCTAACCTTTTCATAGTTACCATAACTTTGATTTGTCTAACCTGGTTGGCACTTGTGGCCTGAGTTGTCTAACTTTATTGTCTAACTTCATTGTTAGCATAAGCTTGAGTTGTCTAACCTGGTTGGCACTTGTGTTCTGAGTTGTCTAACCTTATGGCTATAGTTGCCATGTTACAAGCTGAAGGGACATCAGGTTGTGAATGTGACAATATAAAATGTTTCAAGATGATTTACACTAATGAATTGGGATCCTGTTTACTCTAGATACTTTTTTAATGGAACATCAATGCACTGTGCTACAAAAGTTGAAATAAATTAAAAAAAAAAAACAACTATTATTTATCTCCAGTATGGCGGTGATTTGTTTTCTAGAACGTTTTAACACACGTCTTGTAAATGTTAATCAAAACAGATTATCCAGCAGTCTAAAATACCATCATATAATTTTGCTGGGAGATTTCTGTGTGGCATTCTATAATCAAATAAACAAGAAAGTAAACAATTATGTTTGTCTAGTTTTTACATGTACCATAGCTAAACTCATGCTAAAAGAATGTTGCTATGACTTTGACCTTACTTTTGAATCAATTAAAATTGTACTTAATAATTGTTTCTATTACTATTATATATAAGTATTTGATTGGTTGCAATTTTATACCTAATGCCTCATGAAAAAAAAGTTTTGATTCGTTCAAATTTTTAACCTATCCACTTGTCGATATTTTACGTAATCATTGTTTATACAACGTGTTTATTAACATTCCATTTTTTATTCCGCTATGTATGCACAACATCCGTCCAGTACGCTCATGATAAAATGTGTACATATTACGCAGTTATTATATAAGGGAGTTGACTCAATAAATGTGCAAAATGTGTTATATTCTCGATAGTTTCCCTTGATATTAAAAAATGTTCTGCTTCTCTTTATTATAAACCAGGGGTCTCCAAACTTTTCAGTCCGAGGGCCACATTAACTATGAAATTTCAGTTCGGGGGCCAGTTTCTTCCAGGCATGTCTTTCATTTTCTGGGAAAAGTTCCTCAGCAATCACCTACAAACAATTTTTCCTTGGACAAAAAAGATCTCCGCGGGCCGGATCCGGCCCGCGGGCCGTACTTTGGAGACCCCTGTTATAAACGCTTCTTTTGTTTAATTAAAGTTAATTACTTGTTCCATGTCTATCCTCTCCAAAAGAGTTTAAGAAATGTCTATCATATCAAAAATAAATTTGATTTAATAAAATTGATTGGTAAAACTTTCAACAAAAATCCTTTTTTTTTAACGCGGTTGTGTACTAGCTGTCCCAGTTGCCTACCCTAATGTGTATACACGTGCAACAAATGTCCTGACAAACAGCAACAAACGACGCCCAGATAATTTATGGACGCGACCCTGGACTGTCTGATTACCTCCCCTCCCCTCGGGCTGCGCTCAGGTATGCGTGACGTCAAGGGGTGCAGTGTCTCTGGTTTTGTCCTTATCACGGGTCTGCAATGTTTCTTTCATGAATCTCATTTATATAGATAAGATATACCTTTACCAATCCTCCCACCCAGAGGCGTAGCGACCCTTCCCGGCCCCCGGGGATAAGCTTTCGATTTGCACCCCCCCCCCATCGCCCCTCAAACTTTCGATTTGCACCCCTCTCAAGCTTTCAATTTATCTTTCCAATCCATCTTGGCGCCCCCTAAGGTCGGCGCCCGGGGACATATGTCCCCCCCCCCCCCGCTCGCTACGCCTCTGCCCCCACCCCCCGAAAAATTTAGTCCCCTACCCCCCTTTTTTGGAGAGAGTCTGAAAGAAACACTGCGAGACACCTGTGTGACGTCATGGGGTGCAATGTGTCAGCTTGTGTTTTTATCACGTGGTTACCTGCTCGTGTCACTGTCGGCACACCTGTCTACTGCCAGTCTGCTGGGTATGGGGGGGGGGGGGGGGTTAAAATTGGAGGACGGTCTGCAGGTTGTACCAGTAGATGTAAAATAATTCCTTTAGTAAAGCACTGTAGGTTTAAGTCTAAGGTATTTTAACAAATTTTTGGATTTAGCTAAGAATATAATCAGTTTTTGGTGCGACAGGCATAACACGTTATGGGGAAGCTACCTCAGTCTTTAGTGTCTGATCACCGTTAGTGAATTTAACTTGATGAACATTGGGTCAGTGTATGACATTTTCAATTGTATTATGTTGTTGGGTGAATATCAAAATTTTATATCTTGTAGAAAAAGATATTTTATAATATTCAAATACAAAAATTAAACTCATGTCCGCGTTTTATAGTGTAGTAACATGTTTTTACCCAACATAAGTGTACGATACCCCTATATCTTCTGTAACACCAACCACCTACATAACACCACCCGTGTATAACACCACAACGTTTATGTTGCCACGACACCATGAACTCAACACACCAATGTATAGCAAGCAACTAAACACGTCACTGTGTCACACCACAAAGTTTATCTCTGACACCAACCACCAAAAAAACACCTATGAAGCATTACATTACAACACAAAGTGTATCTTGTGATAACACTAATCACCAAAATACACCACTAATGTATGACACCATCTCTTACATTTGAAGGTTGAATGAAGGTTCGACAACTCCTAACCCTGCTTTACGCTGATAGAGAAGTTCCATTTTATTTCTTATTCTTTCGGCACGAAGGTTCACGCGAGATCTCGTCTTGTTTATTTTAGCCGCTCCGCGTAGGCTTGAAAGTTAGACGAACGCAAATAAATACCGTTTTTGTTTCAAACATTCAAGGCGAATTAAGAATTGTTTTGTAACTAAGCAGACGCAAGCGCGGGCAGAGTTCAATTTTTTAATTCATCCAATTCGAGCAGTTCACTGGGTTCTGTTTGCGCCAGTCAACAGCAGTTAAAAACTTCACATTAAAATACTAGCTGAATTTCAGATAGGCAGTACCTTGTTGTATCCACTCAGCGCGTAAACCGCGTAATGCAATGGTATGTATGTATGTAGAAATCTATTCCCTCAAAAGGAACTAGCAATATCCCCGATTGCTTACTGTTGAATATTCACTGTAGAACACACATACTCTCTCTCACACACATATACACATACACTCTCACACACACACACATTCACACACACACATTATATATATATATATATATATATATATATATATATATATATATATATATATATATATATATATATATATTATGGAAAATTGTATATCGGGACTGGGCTGTCAAAACGGGTCTGTTGTAAATATTTTGAAAACAAGAAGGTGACGGTCCCTGCCTGTCAATGTGTCGTACCTCTGTTTAAAGTAAAGATTGATCTGAAATGCTCTCAAAACAAACACACATTTGCCAGCTATACATACAGCAACATCTATATATCACTTTCAAACTGCCCAGCGTACAAGCTTATTCTTCAGAAAGACTACTGTGGGTAGGAGTGTTATGTAGATGAACTATTGAATCTATTTGCGGAGGAAAATATAGTTGAGTGTTTAGAGATATGTTCTAAATTACAGTTCCCCCCCCCCTCCCAAACCCACTTTGTAATACACCCCACCCCACACACCCCCACATTAATAAACTCCGGTGCCCTTCCCCCTCCATCCCCACGTATCCGTAATCCCTACGGGCGACCACCACTCCACCACCAATCATAATTTTACACCACCACCAATCATAAATTTACACCACCACCAATCATAATTTTACACCACCACCAATCATAGTTTTACACCACCACCAATCATAATTTTACACCACCACCAATCATAAATTTACACCACCACCAATCATAATTTTACACCACCACCAATCATAATTTTACACCACCACCAATCATAATTTTACAACACCACCAATCATAATTTTACACCACCACCAATCATAATTTTACACCACCACCAATCATAATTTTACACCACCACCAATCATAATTTTACACCACCACCAATCATAATTTTACACCACCACCAATCATAATTTTACACCACCACCAATCATAATTTTACACCACCACCAATCATAATTTTACACCACCACCAATCATAATTTTACACCACCACCAATCATAATTTTACACCACCACCAATCATAATTTTACACCACCACCAATCATAATTTTACACCACCACCAATCATAATTTTACACCACCACCAATCATAATTTTACACCACCACCAATCATAATTTTACACCACCACCAATCATAATTTTACACCGCCACCAATCATAATTTTACACCACCACCAATCATAATTTTACACCACCACCAATCATAATTTTACACCACCACCAATCATAATTTTACACCACCACCAATCATAATTTTACACCACCACCAATCATAATTTTACACCACCACCAATCATAATTTTACACCACCACCAATCATAATTTTACACCACCACCAATCATAGTTTTACATCACCACCAATAATAATTTTACACCACCACCAATCATAATTTTACACCACCACCAATCATAGTTTTACACCACCACCAATCATAGTTTTACACCACCACCAATCATAATTTTACACCACCACCAATCATAATTTTATACCACCACCAATCACAGTTTTACACCACCACCAATCATAGTTTTACACCACCACCAATCATAGTTTTACACCACCACCAATCATAGTTTTACACCACCACCAATCATAGTTTTACACCACCACCAATCATAGTTTTACACCACCACCAATCATAGTTTTACACCACCACCAATCATAGTTTTACACCACCACCAATCATAGTTTTACACCACCACCAATCATAGTTTTACACCACCACCAATCATAGTTTTACACCACCACCAATCATAGTTTTACACCACCACCAATCATAGTTTTACACCACCACCAATCATAGTTTTACACCACCACCAATCATAGTTTTACACCACCACCAATCATAGTTTTACACCACCACCAATCATAGTTTTACACCACCACCAATCATAGTTTTACACCACCACCTATCATAATTTTACACCACCACCAATCATAATTTTACACCACCACCAATCATAATTTTACACCACCACCAATCATAATTTTACACCACCACCAATCATAGTTTTACACCACCACCAATCATAATTTTACACCACCACCAATCATAATTTTACACCACCACCAATCATAGTTTTACACCACCACCAATCATAGTTTTACACCACCACCAATCATAATTTTACACCACCACCAATCATAATTTTACACCACCACCAGTCATAGTTTTACACCACCACCAATCATAGTTTTACACCACCACCAATCATAGTTTTACACCACCACCAATCATAGTTTTACACCACCACCAATCATAGTTTTACACCACCACCAATCATAGTTTTACACCACCACCAATCATAGTTTTACACCACCACCAATCATAGTTTTACACCACCACCAATCATAGTTTTACACCACCACCAATCATAGTTTTACACCACCACCAATCATAGTTTTACACCACCACCAATCATAGTTTTACACCACCACCAATCATAGTTTTACACCACCACCAATCATAGTTTTACACCACCACCAATCATAGTTTTACACCACCACCAATCATAAATTTACACCACCACCAATCATAGTTTTACACCACCACCAATCATAATTTTATACCACCACCAATCATAATTTAACACCACCACCAATCATAAATTTACACCACCACCAATCATAGTTTTACACCACCACCAATCATAATTTTACACCACCACCAATCAAAATTTTTACACCACCACCAATCATAAATTTACACCACCACCAATCATAATTTTACACCACCACCAATCATAATTTTACACCACCACCAATCATAATTTTACACCACCACCAATCATAATTTTACACCACCACCTATCATAATTTTACACCACCACCAATCATAATTTTACACCACCACCAATCATAATTTTACACCACCACCAATCATAATTTTACACCACCACCAATCATAGTTTTACACCACCACCAATCATAATTTTACACCACCACCAATCATAATTTTACACCACCACCAATCATAGTTTTACACCACCACCAATCATAGTTTTACACCACCACCAATCATAATTTTACACCACCACCAATCATAATTTTACACCACCACCAGTCATAGTTTTACACCACCACCAATCATAGTTTTACACCACCACCAATCATAGTTTTACACCACCACCAATCATAGTTTTACACCACCACCAATCATAGTTTTACACCACCACCAATCATAGTTTTACACCACCACCAATCATAGATTTACACCACCAACAATCATAGTTTTACACCACCACCAATCATAGTTTTACACCACCACCAATCATAGTTTTACACCACCACCAATCATAGTTTTACACCACCACCAATCATAAATTTACACCACCACCAATCATAGTTTTACACCACCACCAATCATAATTTTACACCACCACCAATCATAATTTTACACCACCACCAATCATAAATTTACACCACCACCAATCATAGTTTTACACCACCACCAATCATAATTTTACACCACCACCAATCAAAATTTTTACACCACCACCAATCATAAATTTACACCACCACCAATCATAATTTTACACCACCACCAATCATAATTTTACACCACCACCAATCATAATTTTACACCACCACCAATCATAATTTTACACCACCACCTATCATAATTTTACACCACCACCAATCATAATTTTACACCACCACCAATCATAATTTTACACCACCACCAATCATAATTTTACACCACCACCAATCATAGTTTTACACCACCACCAATCATAATTTTACACCACCACCAATCATAATTTTACACCACCACCAATCATAGTTTTACACCACCACCAATCATAGTTTTACACCACCACCAATCATAATTTTACACCACCACCAATCATAATTTTACACCACCACCAGTCATAGTTTTACACCACCACCAATCATAGTTTTACACCACCACCAATCATAGTTTTACACCACCACCAATCATAGTTTTACACCACCACCAATCATAGTTTTACACCACCACCAATCATAGTTTTACACCACCACCAATCATAGTTTTACACCACCACCAATCATAGTTTTACACCACCACCAATCATAGTTTTACACCACCACCAATCATAGTTTTACACCACCACCAATCATAGTTTTACACCACCACCAATCATAGTTTTACACCACCACCAATCATAGTTTTACACCACCACCAATCATAGTTTTACACCACCACCAATCATAGTTTTACACCACCACCAATCATAGTTTTACACCACCACCAATCATAGTTTTACACCACCACCAATCATAGTTTTACACCACCACCAATCATAGTTTTACACCACCACCAATCATAGTTTTACACCACCACCAATCATAGTTTTACACCACCACCAATCATAATTTTACACCACCACCAATCATAATTTTACACCACCACCAATCATAAATTTACACCACCACCAATCATAGTTTTACACCACCACCAATCATAATTTTACACCACCACCAATCATAATTTTACACCACCACCAATCATAAATTTACACCACCACCAATCATAGTTTTACACCACCACCAATCATAATTTTACACCACCACCAATCATATTTTTACACCACCACCAATCATAAATTTACATCACCACCAATCATAATTTTACACCACCACCAATCATAATTTTACACCACCACCAATCATAATTTTACACCACCACCAATCATAATTTTACACCACCACCTATCATAATTTTACACCACCACCAATCATAATTTTACACCACCACCAATCATAATTTTACACCACCACCAATCATAGTTTTACACCACCACCAATCATAGTTTTACACCACCACCAATCATAGTTTTACACCACCACCAATCATAGTTTTACACCACCACCAATCATAGTTTTACACCACCACCAATCATAGTTTTACACCACCACCAATCATAGTTTTACACCACCACCAATCATAGTTTTACACCACCACCAATCATAGTTTTACACCACCACCAATCATAGTTTTACACCACCACCAATCATAGTTTTACACCACCACCAATCATAGTTTTACACCACCACCAATCATAGTTTTACACCACCACCAATCATAGTTTTACACCACCACCAATCATAGTTTTACACCACCACCAATCATAGTTTTACACCACCACCAATCATAGTTTTACACCACCACCAATCATAGTTTTACACCACCACCAATCATAATTTTACACCACCACCAATCATAATTTTACACCACCACCAATCATAAATTTACACCACCACCAATCATAGTTTTACACCACCACCAATCATAATTTTACACCACCACCAATCATAATTTTACACCACCACCAATCATAAATTTACACCACCACCAATCATAGTTTTACACCACCACCAATCATAATTTTACACCACCACCAATCAAAATTTTTACACCACCACCAATCATAAATTTACACCACCACCAATCATAATTTTACACCACCACCAATCATAATTTTACACCACCACCAATCATAATTTTACACCACCACCAATCATAATTTTACACCACCACCTATCATAATTTTACACCACCACCAATCATAATTTTACACCACCACCAATCATAATTTTACACCACCACCAATCATAATTTTACACCACCACCAATCATAGTTTTACACCACCACCAATCATAATTTTACTTCCCTAACCATACTCCCCTATGTATGAAATAACCTAGCCCTAAATCAACAAAAAATTGCGTTGAACATTGAGATAACTTTTTACTGAACATTTCCTCACCAGATAACAAATATCCTGCCACGCTACACTCTATGAACGTGTGCTGTATGTAATCCCTTATCCTTTACCCTAAGCCTAGTGAAAAAGTCCAATAACTCTACAGTACTAACATACTCTAAGTTATACCCCTTGATATTGATTCTATTTATAGTTTGGATATGACTACCAAGTTTGTGATTGTCACTGATACTGTAAACGGTGTCTATTAAAATATTACATATGCTGTCAAGTACTCAGCTGTATATAATAATCAGCCTGTACACAATGTTTAACCTATTGAGACTTCTGCCTTTAGGTAGATCTATATACTGACAAGTCTTCCTTCCTAATACATTTATATTAAAAAGTCTACATAAAAAAATTCCGTATTGACATTCTAGACAAAATGTAAAATTAGACAAAATCTACACAAGTTTGACAGTCTTTACAAAAACTGTCCTTTTTACAATGTCGAATAACTGGTAGGGTAATAGTAATACACACTTGTGTGCAAATGAGCTCCAAGATTTATATATTTTTTAAAAATCTACGGCTCACATTTTAAATAATTAGCAAACTAGTTTCTCTGTTGAAGTTTTACCGTGTCCAGCTTTACTATCAGTATGAGACAATATGTTATTAGATCAATCGTTTTTAGAAGAAAGAATTCAATTTTAAACCTAAACTTAAGTATGAGCTAAGGTCAAGGTTGCGACAAAATTGATGAATGAACTTGTAGGTTGTTGTTTGTTCAAACTTTTTTTTTTTAAATCCATAAAGTTGTCTTTTTTTTTCAACAAGACAGGTAAAAATACATTTTGTCAAGTTTTTTCTTACCAACTTCTATCGGGAAGGTAAACAGACCCGCGTCTGCTCAATGTTATCGTCAGCAACTTGACACGGGCTTGTCTCATTTTATCGAAATTAAAATTTGATTATCGCCCCTAACCCCGGGCGCATTCAATAAAAAAAAAATTTCTTCTTTTTTTTCCGCAATTTTTCTTGCTTTTAATGCACTTGTATTGCGAGTTTATTTTTAAAATATACACTTTTGTGAGTGTATATATATATATATATATATATATATATACACACACTCTGACTATACATATATATATATATATATATATATATATATATATATATATATATATATATATATATATATATATATATATATATATATATATATATATATATATATATATATATATATATAGAGTATAGTAAAACGCGGGGGCGGTTTCGATTTAGATTTAGATCTAGTTGGTGTGCTTTATTTATAGATCTACGCTAGATTTTTTTTAACCTAGAAGAAAAATGTTGGGCGCAGACGTAGACTGCCCCCTCACGTCTGTCACGGACGGCTGGGGGCACGGTGTGACAGCGGGGATCGCGTGCTGGTGCAGACGAACAGGTACGTAGGGCCGGCAACTCGAAACGAATACCTAACGCGTCTACGGACGGTCGTACGGAGTGCTTTATCTTTTGTTCTGTGGTTTTTAAAAAAATGTGTGATTGATAGATTTCACACGTGGGTTAATTCGTTGCTGTGTTTTGGGGATTGTTTTGGGAGTTGGCGTCGCCTATCAAATAACCATTACTGGTGAGTGAAAACCTTCTAGAAGTTAGTTTTGTTAGTGATTAGTAGGTCTATTTGTTTATGTACGAAACGCTACAATTTTCATTACCAGTTATGTAATTATATTTAGAATCTATATACAGCATAGTTTTAATTTAGTTTAGTGCTAGATATCATATAAACAACCACATATTTTGTGTTTATTTTGTACGAAAGAGAGGCAGAGATATCTAAAGTACCTTTTTTTTTACTTTTATGCAAAGTTAATATTATTTTACATTAAAAGTAGAATACATTATGGTAGTTGCTGACTTGAAGGAAGTTGAAGTTGTGGAAGGGGAGGGGGAGGTGAGACACTGTTGGAAGGTTAGAAGGTAATAAAAGAGATGTTTTTTATTTCATCGCTGTCAAGCAAACCCGACGTAATTATACAATAAGAGTGTAGGCCCTTTGGTGGTAGTGGTAGAGATGTATATCATGCAGCCAATGCAGTTACAGCTAAGTCATTCGGCTAATTTTTTCACAGTTTTGCAGCTAATTTAATCACAGCTAAGTCATGTGGCTAATTTAGTCGCAGTGTTGCAGCTAATTTAATCACAGCTAAGTCATGCAACCAATGCAGTCACAGCTAAGACATTCGGCTAATTTTTTCACAGTCATGTAGTTGATGCAGTCACAGCTAAGACATGCAGCTTATTTAGTCACAGTCATGCAGCTAATTTAGTCTCAGCTAGGTCATGCAGCTAAAGCAGTCAGAGCTAAATCATGCAGCTAAGTTATTCAAGGCTAGGTCATGCAGTTATGCTAGTCACGGCTAAGTCATGCAACTGTGTTATAGATTTCACACAGCTAAGTAAGACGACTTATTCACAGTAATATAACGTAGTCAAATCACACGGCTAGTTCACACAGCTAACACATGCTTCTGTTATACAGCTAATTCACACAGCTAGCTCCGACAACTAATTCACACACCTAAGTCAGACAGTTCAGTTACACGGATAACTCAAACACAACTAGATCAGCCATCTAATTCAGACAGCGAATTAACACATTTAATTCACACAGCTAATTCACACAGCTAGTTCACACAGCCAATTCACTCAATTCACACAGCTCATCACACACACAGCTAACAGCCACCACCACTTCCTACCCCTATCACCTGTAGATCTAGTAACTCATGCGTTTAAAATCACATTCAATCAGGTGTTAGCAAGAGCTAATGACACAACCCACGATATCTGGCTGACTGTAGCACATACTACAGCACTGTAGATGACAGTCGTAATCCCTTAAACCTGCCTGCATCAGGTGTTAATCCATAACACAGACACTGTTACATTTTTCTAACATACATTTACAAATATATATTTATTTTTAAATATTATATACTTTATATATATATATATATATATATATATATATATATATATATATATATATATATATATATATATATATATGTGTGTGTGTGTGTGTGTGTGTGTGTTTACTTGTGTTTTAAAAAATGTAGATAGGGGACATATAAATATAGAAATATTTAGAAATACATAGATATACATATATACATAAATACACATATTTTTACTCGTATATATACACATGTACATGTATATTTATATTATTTATATACACACATTTAAACATAGACATATATATATATATATATATATATATATATATATATATATATATATATATATATATATATATATAATATATGTACATATTACATATATATGTATATGATGTAGATAGAGGCCATATTTACATATCAACATATTGGTATGTATGTATATATATATATATATATATATATATATATATATATATATATATATATATATATATATATATATATATATATATATATGCGTGTGTGTGTGTTTTATTGTATGAACGTCTACCTATGTAAATACTATTGTGTGTATCTCTGTGTGTGTTAGCCTGTAGACAAAAAATTAGCATAAGATCTTTAAGCCTAGTCCTTTTACCTATGTCTTTGATTACCTCCCCTTTTACATTGTGTCCCTTTATACGAACGTGCCACGTGATTTAGCTTTGGAGTGTAAATAGACCGGGTGATAAATGGCATCAATGAGTGGGGAATGTTAACTGCTATGTTAGCTATTTGTTCACACAAGTGCTATCATAGCAGTAGGCCTGAGCCTCGCTAGCTTTGAATGACGTCGTTAGTTCGTAAGATACTGTGTTGTAACGGGGAGGGGGGGGGGGGGACTTAAATGGGTTTCTTGCCAGTATAAATAAATAAATAAATATATATATATATATATATATATATATATATATATATATATATATATATATATATATATATATATATATATATATATATATATATATATATATGCAGATAAGTGTCAGTGCGCTGGTAGAAATAGATGAAATTTCCACATTTAAATATTTAAATGCAACACACGTGTATTAACTGGTTACTTTATCTGAGAATTTGGAGTCTTATACTATTGGACAGTTTGATCTTATCCCATTCCACCACACTGCCATTCTCTCTATCCCATCCCACCACATTGCCTGTCTCTTTCTATCCCATCCCACCACACTGGCTGTCTCTCTATCCCATCCCACCACATTGCCTGTCTCTCTCTCTATCCCACCCACCACACTGCCACTCTCTCTATCCCATTCCACCACTGCCACTCTCTCTATCCCATTCCACCACACTTCCACTCTCTCTATCCCATTCCACCACACTTCCACTCTCTCTATCCCATTCCACCACACTTCCACTCTCTCTATCCCATTCCACCACACTTCCACTCTCTCTATCCCATTCCACCACACTTCCACTCTCTCTATCCCATTCCACCACACTTCCATTCTCTCTATCCCATCCCACCACACTGCCACTCTCTCTATCCCACCCACCACACTTCCTCTCTCTCTCTATCCCATGATCATGTATTCATCCTAATCCTACTTTCATTTCTTTAACCACAACTCTGAACTTTATCAGCATAACTCAATACATATTTGAAGTGTATGTATTTAACAATGTGTAATACATACATATCCAGGTGTATACGTTAAATCTAAGACAGCGCTCAAAAAACTAAAACCCCAAAAACATACCTTCCGTTTCCCCCAAATATCCTTGACCTCTGCCCTTCAGAAGAAGAGCACCATAGTTTACAAACACAGTTGACTTTACCTTTGCACCCAGCTCTCTGCTCGCCTTCAACTAGGTGGCATTTGAAATCACATTCAAGTTTGATGCTGTGAGAAAAGGGTCCTCTAGGAGGTTGCAGCATAGAGCCGTGACTAGCTTAATCATGGTGTGTAACTCACAGCGACTCTTAGGTCCCTTTTGTCAAGATGGTAGAGGACTCAAACTTTACCAAACATTTCACTAATTCGGTCAGCGAGTCGTTCTTTCAGTATCTGACATATTAAACATGTGTACATGAAATCCGAACAGTCGGAAACTTACACGAAATTTGAAAAATCTAAAACTTCGACAGACATACAGAACTGTATATATATTTTATAATGCATACATTATTTGCATCGCTGTTTTCTATACATCATCATATAGACGATGTTCTGCCATTTTTAGATTTCAGATGCCAACAACACAACTTACGGGTTTCTTTCAGACATTTTTCTCTAAGGGTAAGGGGCGCTTGAAACTCAGGGGATGGTAAGGGGGGGGGTGGAAATAGGTTATAGTATATTGATATTTTCTTTCTATTTCGTCCCGCAGAAATACGTGTAAGAAACACTGCCTTTTTATAAGGTTTTTAACGTAAATATTTTTTAAAAGAATATTTTTATTGGACCTAGACTACATAGAAAACTTGAGGATAGATCAGACTTTCTGAAATCAATGGGTGCTTGTTTTCTTTATCTCCATGGAATGTTTTATTTTTATTTTTACCTTGTGCTTACATTTCATAAGTCGTGTTTATGTTTTATTCTGCAAGAGTCTTCTATGTTTTACTGTAAAACATTTACTGGTGACAGATAGTGGTCAACCCTTCAATATGATTGTAGTTAAGACACATCGATTAGTATATGCGAACATTTCCTCGCAATATCTAGGCGCAATATAAATTAGCCATATCATACCAGATCATATTTTTTGATATTGCTATAAAAATAATTATACGAATAGCCTTCTTCGTATTACACAAGTAAACCTCATAAACATTCACCTGAAAACTAATGTAACTCTAAACCTTATCCTTATGCATAATTCTAACTCTCCAGGGTGGTGTGGGTAATCTAAAATCCTCCAGATTATCAATCTAAAAAAACAACATCAACAGCAGACAGGACTAAACACAAGAGTAAAATCAAACATTAACATCCAACGGTATCATCCAATGGTAACATAAACTATAACATCAGTTTAGTTAAGTTTAGTAGAAGTTTAGGGAAGTAGCTTCAAGGAAGGGCAATTACTGTCCACCTAGCACCAAGAAAGGGAAATCACTCTCCCCCTAGTATCAAGAAAGGGAAATCACTCTCCACCGCTGGAAACAATCAGCAGATGTCTCCTACATAAATCCTAATCTTGGTGAAAGAATGCCGGCAATGGCCCTAATCAGATGGTTCTAGAAGGATTTACAGCCCGATTACAGGGCTAATACGTCGAGGAAATCGTTCAGATCTAAATTTAGGATTTCGTACAGCTGTTAATTAATTACTGAATTTCAAGCATTGCTAGACGACTTAAGATATCTCAAAATAGTAACAAGCAGCATGGTCGAACATTCCTTTGTTTACTTTTGTTTTTAAATATCCTACCTTTTAAAATGAATTGTTTGAAAGCAAAATATATCAGCTAAAATACGTTAACTTGTCATTAAAATATAGACCATTCATTAAATTAATTAGATAAGATCTAATGCTCTTGCTTCCTGACTCTACTTCAGCATCTTAGCATATCTACTTTCAGTAATATTTTTGTGACAACTCACTTTGACTATCACATGAAGTCAACGTTGAATAAAGCCAAGAATTATTTCTTCCACGAGCAA